TTGAGTCATTCAGAGAATTTCGTCCTGAGACGACATGGCAATATTCACTCGTGAGACTTGAGCAGAGGTGTGCGTGACTGGACAAGGAACGGTCCCGCTCTCGTCTAGTACACATAAATAGGAATGGACGATAAAATATGAGAACCAGACACAATGTGTGTCTTGTGTGGAAAAATGTGGTGATTGATGGGATTGCATTCTTATGGCATACAGTTATCAAATAGACAACTCGCTGAGCAGGGGCACAGGAGATGCCGTGAAACTCAGCCAGGCTATGTAGCAAGCAAGTTTCTACTTCTTATATATGCAGAATAGAGGTATCGTTTCCTATTTTGACCATCGATCATACTCCCCATCGGCTATACTTCCCAAACCGTATATTCCACTTGCGACGATCTAGGAACCGATCAACTACCTAAGCAGTCAATTCATCTCCATACTCACAACCATCTGGCCAAACAACACCCCATTTCTCCCAAGCTGTCCCTTGTCCTCGACACCTCACTACAATCAACATCAAGTAAGCTTAACATTCCACGACACATAACTACCACGTTCTTCACCGAGCTCACTCACAGCGAGAAGCCAATCCCCCTACCCGCCCACACCACTAAGACCAGCACCGTCGACCTCCCGGTCACAAAACAATGTCACTCGAGACAACTGTGTGAAAATTAATTAGAAAATGTTAGTAAGTAAGGGATGGTGAGTGTTAGCCTGTGTTTGCATATACAGTTTTGTAAAACTAAAAAAAAGCCAAGGGGTTTTAGAGTTAAATTATACGATTTCAGTCTTTTGCTGGTGTTGTTAAAATCCACGTAAAAGCCAATCATCAACTCCTAGTACTCTAATCAGTGACCGATATGATTCCCTCTCATATGTGGATCACCTATGTTATTATCGACTGGCACCTCTATATTTGCAGCCACCTACTGAGTCCGCCACTTACATGATCTACCGCCATTCTCTTACTGCCTCTGTTGAGAAGCGGAGCACGTCGTACGCTAGTCCGCGCATGTGACAGGGCGATAATAAGCACTTTCTAAGATTTTGACATTTAGTATCCATGCAATCCTCATGCGATGCTATTACCTGCTGCAACAACTGCCGTATATACAAGCCTTCTTCACACCTACTCTACGCACTGTCACTGATACACTTGGACACGCTATCTTATCATACTCCTAGAGTAAGAGACAGTAATGTACTTACTATCTTTAGTGAGCAAAATGAGGCACTTATTCTGATCGAGCCACATCGTAAACTGCCCTAGACACGTTGTCTATTGTAGGTCTCACAATTCCTCCACAGCCTTCATGGCGCCAATGACTCCCTCACAATTTCCTTTGGTAGTATTTAAAAGAAGCCGCTCCCTCAACAAAAAGACTTAAAGACTACTCTACCTGCTCAATATCTTGTGGCGTGTGTGCTATTCTACCTCCACCCTATCACGTCGAAAGCTGCGAATAGATTCTTTCCTTATCATGTCACCTATAGTAGTGTATATTTAAGTTACAATAATCTATAATTATGTTATAGCAAAATACATATTTTGATATACAAAATTTTGCGCAAGCATAATTTACCTTCACATAGCTGCCACCCTACACACCAGACCTAAAGACGCAGGCGAGGGTGAGATGTTACAGCCCTCGCTACAATAAGAGTTGATATTAGGTAAATTCTTCCAATAATTTTTTAGGGGACACTATGATATCACCTACCAAAGCTTACTCTGTAACTACTTATGTTACATCCAGTCTTAGATTCTCATCATCTACATCTATGTATTTCATCTAACTTTCATATCTACTTACTGCAGAGTCCAATCATGTTAAAGAAATATGGATGTCTCACTCTCCCCAGCCACCAACCATGAATAACTCGAACTCCTCCCAACGACAGATGGTACTCGTGTGATGTGACAGTGCAGTTTGTCGTGATGGAACTCCCGCACGCAACTTGATCGTACTTTGTGGGGTATAAGTTCTCACTCTTTGAATTTGTTTTCTGTTTCAGCTGTCCGGTGATAGAGTGCCTTGGTCGTGTATTACCGCTTTCTATATGCGACATTTTGTGGTGTGATAGGTTTATTTATTTTTTTTAAATATTTCTAAATGTTGTTTACTTGCTTTGTGCGCTGTAAAAAGGCACCATCATTACAAAGATTCTACTACTCCATATATATGAAATACGAAAACGCGACAAAAACATCTATGCTTCTTAAGACGCCAGTACGCACACATGTTGACATGATTTTATGTATGTTTAGAAGAATAGAAGAGTTCTGCCTAGACTTAGTTAACCGTCTTCCCGGTGTCTAGATTACCCTCATTTACATACACGGATTCCAATGTCAAACTCTCTCCTGGATATGAATAATTGCTGTCTATATCAGGTGTCTTATTATACGTCGCTAGATGTTTTGCTGGCATCTACTTAACACACGCATTAGCTGTCAGTCGCTTCCCTCCTGCCTTCTTGCATTATCAGCTCATTA